CTCTGTTTAGCCGAAGGCTCTGTAAGCCGAAGGCACTTACACGTGTATTTGTGGGCTTCTTGATACTCGGGCCGCTACGTCTGGGCCTTGTGTGCTCATTGGGCTTGATGGGCCTGAGCAGGAGAAGTAGGAGTCTGTGGGCCGGTGGTTCCTGGGCCATACACTCCATCAGATATATTAGTCATATTTTGGAAATAAAAGGATTGTACTTCTAATGTTGAATTTTGGGCTTATTTTACTCCTATTTAGGGCTAATACCCGTTTTTACTCTTATTTAGGATAATTTTCCTTTTGTAAATAATACAAAATATGTAATGCCAATTAATTCATAAAATTAATGAAATTAAAATGGATTCATTACTAAGGATGTTTTTACTTGGATTGTAATTTGCTGGTCTGGTTTGATCTGTTTAAGTCTGGTTTGGTCTGAACCAGTCTAGTAAATGTCTGGTCTCTTTGTATTTTATAACTATGAAACTCTGGTCTTGTCTATTTAAGTCTAGTCTGGTCTGGTCTGATCTGTTTAAATCTGATCTCATATGATCTAGGAGCGAAAAATTCGTATATTAAAATTCTCTTTCTGACCACTTGCATTATTATTGCATTACTTTTAGGGGGTGTTTGGATTTGATTCTTAAAACTGCTTCTGCTCTTTCAAGGAGTAGAAGGAGAAGTTGGAGTGTTTGGGTGAAAGTGCAAAAGTGATTCTGGTGCTCTAATTTACTCCTAGAATCAGTTTTTTTAGAAGCTAGGGGTGACCAGCTTCTAAAAACTTATTCTGATTCTGCTTCTGCTTTTAAAAAAGAAGCAAAAGCAGAATCAGTTCCAAACATCCCCTCAATCTTGACAAGCTCTCTTTCAATCTTGGCAAGCTCTCTAATATAGAACCCTTAAGACCACCCCTTTTTTGGAAGTTACAAAACCACAAAAAATCATCTATCTACCGTCTGGCCTCAAACCAGACTTAGAATCTATCACCTCTATAGAAATAATAATAGGCTTTCTTGAGCGAATGATGGGCAAACAAGACTTCTCATCACCTAACTTAAATTCTAGACTTTTTTGCTAGAAACCAAAAATACGGCCAAAGCAACATTTAGTTCGAAAGAAAAACAACACATAGAAACAGAATAATCTAAAGAACCATATATAATACTTCTGAACCCTAACACCTTGTTCAACTCATGGCGGTGGTTCAGGAGTAGGCCAGATCATAGGTACCGTTGTGATTGATCTTCCATCACCGGCCAAACTGTGATCCGCCATAATCATCCTTATGTGCTTTTGCACATCTCCGCCAACAATCCCCGGTTGTAGTACTCCGTTCCGATAGATCAAGATCCGTGAAGCATTCATACTTCTAGACTTTGAATCTTCGACAACCACAAGTGAAGAACACACCCCAATTAGGCATGGACTCGGGCCGGGTCGGGCCCGGTCGGGCCGCCGGTTTGTAACTCATGGACCCGACACCGGTCCGAGGTTTGGACGGGTCCGGTTCGGGCCGGGCCACCCGCCCGGTTCACGGGTTCGGGTCACCCGCCGGGCCGATCCGGTTAAAACCAATTTTTTTATACTTTATACTTTATAGTTTTATACAAGTATTAAAAACAAACTTCAAGTGCATTTATTTGAAATGAAATAGGAACTACATTTGAAAATTAAGAGAAACATACAATATGAAATACATTTTGTAAATTGTAATCAATCGGAACTTCCCACACCTCCCGATCATTTGGCTTTGTCACATAACTTAATATGCTTCATTACCATCCCGTATCCGCCTGAAACTCCCATGCTACACTTTTCCCCGCACCATTTGCAAGTTGCGTACCACATCCCGGTCCTCGGGTCCTTCTGCTTATCAAAATTATACCGTATAACGTCATTGATGGAGTAATAGGACTAGGCCCAGAGCCTAATCATCCCAAGCCCCGAACTTGGACCCGTGGATCCAAGTCCATAACCTAGAGCCTGCCTGCCAACCCAGCGGGAAGCCTGCCAGTCCGACCGACCTCCCAGCCCGGAAGAGTAACGGTCAAGCAATTAATGCACTATTAATTATGTATTTAATTCTTTATTAATGTTGTAATTAGTTAGTCATTATTATCGGTAGCGGTTACGATTCGTATACGTCTATAAAAGGCGTGTTGTAATTCAGATTAGGGGAGACGACTTCTATATGCTATTTCTGGCTAACTTTCCATATTCGTACTTTCCTAATTCTTGCTTGAGTGTCGTACGTAGCTTTCCTAAAAGCCTACGAGCGTCCTATTTTGGACCAACATTGGTGCTTTCATTGAGAGCCTCTATTGTCTCTCACATAACTTGAGTAGGAAAAACCGAAAAACAGGAAATTTCAAGAAAAAATGGTGGAAAAAGATCGAAGGTTTTTGTAAATTTTTCAGATCCCTTCGAAAACTGATTCTAGATATGGAGTTTTCCCAGAAAAGCTAGCAACAATCTGAGACGGAGCCAGAAGGATTTTGGTTTTGATATTCCGACTCATCCCTCAGGAATCAGTCACTCAATTTCTTCTGATTTGTACTCCTTGGGAAACTGAGCGTGGCGTCTCCGCCATTAATGGCCGCTGGCAAGGAGAAAACCTCAAACCCATCGACGTTCAAGATCGGAAGCTTCTAGTCTCCGTTCGTAGGCCTCCTTCACTTCCATCTCAGTATTGTTCCTCCGCTCGCCTAGGGCTGTATTGACTGGGCGAATCAACCTAGGTCCGCACCAGCCAATTTTGGGGTGGAGATCGATGCTGCAACGACGAGTAGCTCCGACGCAAACCTGCGGATGCCCTCCAGGTGTGTCTCCTCGGTTTGCGAACCATGGCCCTGGATGACTGGGGAAGCATGGCAGCTGATTGAGGCGCAAGGTAGCAAGGATGAGAAGCCTTCCACTAGTGAGAGAAACCGACACTTTAAAGCATCTGGCGCTGGACGAGATACTCCAATATGACAGCAAGCCGGTCGCGGCTCCTACATCGGGGATGATGGTGAGGCTCCTCCTCCCTCTACTGCGGCAGCAAGGACAGATGATATCTCCCCTCCCCTCGGGAGCCCATCTCTTCGGATATCATCAACAATATGTTTGCCAGCGTCTTACCAATTTGGATGGGTTCAAGGAAATCAGAAGAATACTATCTATCCATTCAACCAATCAACAAATGGCCTAAATAAGAGCTAAGTATCCAAAAATCCTCTATATTTGATACAAAAAGAAAACATTTACCGGAAAAAAAAATATACTACGTATCATAAATTGAAACATTTGAAAAGATATTTTAAGTGGTGTAATTGCTTTAACTCTTGTTGAGCGTGTGTAATTTTAACATTGAAAAACGGACTTATGAAATCCGATCACTCACATACACCGGACGAGCACACACACTCGTACAATGGCCGAGCACACACACTCGCGCCACCGGGTCATGTCATATGGGTGTGGCGATTAATAAGCTCCAATATAAATGTTAATACCTCACACTCTTGACTTCTTACGGGTTCTTGTGTGCTCTTACCTCTTCCTAGTGCATCACACTCCGACCTCGGGGGACGAGTCATCCGTTCAAAAGTCTTTACTTGCGGGTTCGAACTACTAACCTCGGGCGGCGAGTTAAACTCTTGTTAGGGGCCTAGAGCCACGCTTTTCCGAGCAATTTTGTCACTTAATTGACGTTCACATTTCTCGAAGAGGTTGATATACTTTAGTTCTCTGGGGTTGGATTATCCGTTCGAGTGAGGAGTCCGCCTCACTTACTCGCGGATTCAATCTTTCTTTCGGAGACTGGGTTAAGGCCTAACTTGGGAACTTGATGTCACTCTTTTCAAGTAGTGAGTCTGACTCGCTTACATACTGAGCCGTGGTTTGACACCAGGCTAGATGCTTTATTCTACACTAGTTTCTTTTATGTGTAGGTACAACTGAATGAAGTGGGGGACTGAGGGTCTTACCGTCTTCAAGGAAGCAAATGACGAACGTGACGAGTCTGAGCTCAACGAGAAGAACAGTTCTAGCCATCCTATTCGCAGATGGCGACCATTACAATAAAGGCTGAGGATCTCACCTCTTACTTCATCTTGGGGGCGTCAGATGTACTCTTTTTCCCTTCATTAGGATTTTTCCCCATTGGGTTTTTTCCTAATGAAGGTTTTTAATGAGGCATCTCCCCAACATGGACAAGGGCGGGGATCTTCTAGTCTCGGAGAAGAGCAACTGACTTGGACTACTCCCTCTTAGCCGAGTCTACTACTCGACTAAGGGAGTGGGGGACTCGTGATGGAGTAATAGGACTAGGCCCAGAGCCTAATCAGCCCAAGCCCCGAACTTGGACCCGTGGATCCAAGTCCATAACCTAGAGCCTGCCTGCCAACCCAGCGGGAAGCCTGCCAGTCCGACCGACCTCCCAGCCCGGAAGAGTAACGGTCAAGCAATTAATGCACTATTAATTATGTATTTAATTCTTTATTAATGTTGTAATTAGTTAGTCATTATTATCGGTAGCGGTTACGATTCGTATACGTCTATAAAAGGCGTGTTGTAATTCAGATTAGGGGAGACAACTTCTATATGCTATTTCTGGCTAACTTTCCATATTCGTACTTTCCTAATTCTTGCTTGAGTGTCGTACGTAGCTTTCCTAAAAACCTACGAGCGTCCTATTTTGGACCAACAGTCATATTGACTTTCCATCTTAAAAATGGTAGATATAATAATTCTACAATAGATGGAGATGAAGATGGAGAATGGAGATTAGAGATTGGATGTAGGAGAAGATGTGTATAAAAATGTTAGAAAATAAGAGTATTTATTACATAATGTAAAATTAATTAATTAATTTTATGAATTCAGTAAAAAACGCTACAAATAAAAAAATGAACGTATATTTATTTGAAATATGAACTACAAGTTTACAAGTTACAATTGAGAATTGAAGGTAAAATTAAAACATGAAATACTAATCAATCGGAATCTCCGACATAGGTAGAGCCACCCTCGGTTGTAGATCCATCCATAAAGTGTTGGGATGGAGTGATGTCAATTTCTTGAGCTCTACAGGCCGCTTTCAACCAATTGTGGTAGCATATAAGCATCTCAAGAGATTCTGGGCTCAACCTCGTTCTATATTGCGTTAGGACATTGCCGGTCGAACTAAATTCTTGTTCTGCGGCAGCTGTTGAAACCGGCATTGATAGCACTTGCTTAGCCATCTTTGCTAAAACCGGGAACATTCTTTCTTTTCCCTTCCACCAGTTTAGTACGTCAAAATCATCATCTTCTTCAAAATCAACATCATATGTTAAATACAAAAAAATCTTATTAATTGTGCTTTGTTGCGTAGCGGCAGTTGATTTCGTTTTTTTAATAAGATTGACAAATGTAGATTTGAAAATTGATTTTCCTTTAGATGATGTCTGTGTTGGGGGAGGGGGCACATTGTCATATTGTGCATGAAACTCATTAAATAATGCATATAATATATCACTAACCTCGCTGTATTCTTTTTTCAGATCAATTGGGTTGTCCTCATACATTGGCATTGGACAAAAAAAGCAGCATAATAATAATTTAAACATTCTTCTAAAGAACCAAGTCTAAAACGAGGATCGAGAACAAATGCAATACCATAAATATGCGGAATATGTGAATAATATTTTAAAAACTTTTCCTTCATAAAACTAGCAAAATAACTCACATAATCAGCATTCTCAAAATTTGAAAAAGCATCGACGAGATTAACAGCTTCATGAATAAATTGGTTTGAGGTATTGTGTCGGTGCAATTCTTGTTCTAGTTGTTCGTCGGTCATCGCATCCCCATCCCTCCTTGCGTAACCCGTATCAAAATCATCTTGATTTTGAGATGAAGAGCCGATATGTGATTTACCTTTGCGGGATCTCTTCCTCGCAAGCTCTTTCGTTCGGTTGCGAGGTTACCCATATCAACCGAATATCTAGGACGATCCATCTAAAAAATGTAACAAATATATTAATAAGAGTAATTAAAACTATTTTAAATAATACTTCAATCTAACTATTAATTCGAGTTATAGCAAATTACTATTTTAAAGTTTACTTTAATCAAATTACTAGTAATTAAATAATACTTTAATTCGAGTGAAATGTGAAGTAAAAAATGTGAATTGAACCAAAATTTATAGCAATACTATTGTTTAATAAATAGTCAAATTAACTAGTGAATTAACTAGTTTTGTGGACAACCTTTTTTTTTACTAACAATCAAATTAATATACTTTAACTTTAACTATAATGAGAATTAACTAGTTTTTTAAACTAGAGTCAAAGGTAGCAATTAATAAAAAATTGTAATAAAGTAATTAACTACTTTAATGAAAAATTAAACAATTCGTGTGAAAACTAATTAACTAATCAACTAGTTTTTTGTACTACCTATTTTTTTACTAACAATCAAATTATTATAGTTTAACTTTAACTATAATGAGAATTAATTTTTTTTTCAAGTAATGTTAATACAAAATTAAACAAGTGTAAATAATAGAATGATTTCATACCTCTTTCGGACTTTCGGTCTTTCGGATGGGAGTAATAGAACGACTTCAAATTAATTAGATATAATTCCAACTATATTAATAGATATAATAAATGTATAAGTAATATATAATTAGATAAGAAATATAAGTAACATAATGTATGTATTTATAAATTATAAGTAGATAATTAATATAAAGTAGATATATAAATATATTGGAGAAGAGAATTAGAGAGTAGAGAGTTAAGAGTAGGATTTAGGAAGAATTGGAGAAGAGATGGAAAAATGTTTAAGATTAGGAGTATTTATAGATTTTTTTTACCCCACCCCACCCCCACCCCCAAACCCCCCGGACCCCCCTGCAGCCCACCCAACGGCTATATAGACATTTGGGTTGTCCCCAGCCCACCCAATGGTCATCTTTGGCCCAAAAGTTTTTTTTTTAAATGTAGCCGTTGTGACCCGGACCCGGGCCCAACCCGGCCGGGCCGGGTCACATTTTCCATGAACCAAGCCCGCCCCCGCTTCCCAAGCCGGTTCGGGTCCACACCCAGTCCCGGACCGCCAGACCGGGCCGGTCCCGGGCCCGGGCCTGCACAGTAGCGGGCCGGGCCGGGTCACGGGCCAGGTGGCCCGAAACGAATCCATCCGTAACCCCAATCCAATCGAGGGCAGAAAACACGACCCAAAAACCAGATCGAACTCGAAGATCCCAATCCAATCCACCCAAGTAGAATCGGCTACGAAGGGTCACCCAAACTCGAGAGCTACGACTTTGTTCCCTTCAACCCTGACTTCGGTCTCCAATCTCCATGCCCACCAATAGTAGTGACACCAGACGATGGCTCCCTTGCTTAAAGAGAAGTGAAATCCAAGCACCAAGATCAGAACAGCCACACGCCTAAGTAGCGGATAAATTGAACGGCAGCACGCCTAGCCCGAGACCGGCTAGGGAGAAGACCGCTGACCGCCCCAAGTAAGCACTATCATTATATGATTAGAAACTAATTTAAGGTTTCTTTTACTCCCTGAAAAAATCTTGTTTAAATCACCACCACCTTAGAATGTACTCAATGTAGTAGTCCATTCAAATATCAAATGGAGGACCAGAATCAACGATCTCAACACCAGAACCGATAGCACCTAAATATATTGTAGATAACACGGTTTGACTGAAACCTAAATCCTAAACCACAGTTATGCTCCAATTTGTACAAGGCCTAGACAAAACCCACCCATAACTGGACCCGAACCATACAATTAGTAATCATGGGAGGTCACATGATTAAGCTCACATTGTAAAGTTGGTCCCTTGGTAGCCCTCCCAAGCTTTAACTAAATGTTGATTCAATGATTCAAGACATGCAAAGGGTATAATTCAGCGTAATGATACAACAAATGTAGGTGACGATCAGAAAACAAACTAAACACAAGAATCTCATCTTATACAGTAATAAAATAAATCTATGTTTTATCTGAATTTGCTGCTGGGGTTAACTGGCTGCTATGTTACTAAACAAGAGAAATTGTCTTGAATGGCACCAAATCTCTTAGTCGAAAAGCCCTTCATCGTACCAAACATCAACTAAAAAGTCTACCATCTCCTGCATATATATGTGTGTGTAAGATATCATTTAGAAACCAGAAACCATCTCATCTCAAATGTTAGTTTCTTTTTTCTTTTTAAATAAATTGATTTTAACATGGTATTAACCTAACAAAAAAAACACTAAACTGGTGAAAACACAGAGATCAAATTGAGATATATTGCAGTAATGTAAAGCATAGTATATGATAAGATATACGCTTCTTTGATTTCTTACAGATAAGGGGATTCGCTCAGAGAAAGGCTCATTAGTTGCAAGCAAGTCCTCATAGTTCAGTGACCAACTGCAACCAAATTTAAATAAGGCCGGGTCATTAAAAACAATTGCAACAAAAATGTTAAAATTAAAATTGAATTATTGTTAAGGAATAATTGGCACCTTTCCAATGCCTCACTTTTACACTCATCCTTGCAAATTTAGATTATTGAATGTAAACCAGTGTAAACTAAGATCTTATATGGAGTATATTGTTTTACTCTTTCATACTAAATTGGTGTGGGACCAAAAATTCAGTAACCGTAAAATAACAAGTTATAGTACTACGAAAGTATTTCATATCTCTAAACACCATGAAAGGTAATTAATTAAGTGAAGTGCCACAGATAAATGCAAATGCATTGTTGTTGATTACAGATAAGGGCTTTAACGTGGCTCGATTTTTTAGTCTCACAGTTGCTGGACCAATTAGGCTTAAGAATTTATGTCTAGCATTGTAGCATTATTATTATTATTTTTTAACTTAAAAGATGAATACCTTATGATCAGATCTTTCGCCGTCTTATCTGACTTCTTTGAAGTGTCCCCAGTCCATTTCCTTCGGCTTTCCTCCCAAGCAAGAGCAGCTGGAATACATACACATGCAACAGAAGGAGGCGTTTGACTTAATATCCAAATATAATCAAGTACATACAGTGGTCAAAAGCTAATGCGGAAACCACAAGTCAGGCAATAGTCGCTGGCTGACCGTAATTGATAAATACAGGAGACTCGTTTGGAACATTTTCAGAAGCCCTTTTGGTTTCTCTATCAGTTTTGCATCCTTCCACCAGTCTCTTATCCTTTGATTTGGGAGTTCCAGTATTTATCTCCATCTTCTTTCTTATGAAAAATCATTACCCTTTGTAACACGAGAGGGTCCCTCAACCAATGTGCTCTAAGAGTCCTGAGTGTGATGCAATTAAACCTGTATGAAACAAACAAAATCATAGATCTGAGATAATAAGAAATCTGTTCGTAACTAAGACGCATTATACCAATTACCAAATGGTGAAACAAAAGAAACAGCAGACACTAATACTTTAAAAAAGCTGAAAAAATATCAACCCTGATATAGTAGATACAAAGCGGAAATTACTACGCGGATCGGGTAAATAAGAATTCGCCTTAGGTGCGAGAAGAAAAATGACTCACCCACAGAAAAAAGAAACATTGGCCCTGTTTGGTTGCAAGTACTGGATTTATTCTGCTTATCAAGCGAATAAGTACTTTCTCACTTTTGTTAGCTAAAATGGCAGTTACCAATCGTTTTTTCTTTTAGAACATTCCATAAATACAATCACTTTTAGCCCTTTCAGCCAAATAACCTCTTTCCTAACAGACTTATTAACTTATTTCTCCTGCTCTTTCTTTAACTAATTTTATTTCCGGTAGTCAGTCCATCCAAGGGAATGTGCAGGTGCCCTAAACTGCATCGAGAGTGAACGGGTATGGGACATGTAGTAGAATAACCTCAGGGGTTCAATGACTGACCAGTAATTCAAAGATTACTTAGTTTGAACTCACATATTAAAATTATAGCCCAAAGATCATTAAATGAGTTACCAAAGAGAACAGCAACATTGCTGAAAGGAAAAAAAACTCCTCTTTCCATCAATGCAAACCCTACATCGTACATATAACGTTTTGACCATTCATCAATTCAATACAACAAAAATGTCTGAAATTCACAGCCTTTCAAAGGGAAGACTAATATTACTGATTTAATTTATACTTCTACCAAACTATTCACCACCTCTGAGGGCACCCACTTTTGGACTATAAAGCTGGAAACCAATCAAGCTAACAGAACACTCTCTGAAACCACATTAAGCTCAATGTTTTTTGTTACAGAGAGTCAATAAAACAATACGGAACTACTTGAATGCGCATAAATTTGAGGAATTTAGACATTGCAGAAAGAAGCAGATATCCAGAACAAAACAAAATGAATTTTACAAGGAAATACTTCAAACTACTATTGCTATTCTATAACAAAGAAGAAAAAAGAAGGGAATAAGAAAAGACTCGTGAAAGAGAAAGGCGGAAAGTGTAGTACCTTGGAGTGTCCGAAAATGAGAGAAGAGAAAAGAAAGTTAGAGAGGGCGAGGAAATGGGGTATATATAGTGCGAATTTCTCGAGTTTTACTTAAACCCAATAATTCTTAAATCTTTTTTCGCTCTGTTTGTTTGGCGTTATCCGCAAGTTGGCATGACAGCGCTTTATGATGCAGGTCTAGAATACTGGTAATCCATAAATAAATTTATTTACATCTAAAACTTGTCAATTAAAACGGCTTTAAGTTTTAACAGGTTTTTAGTGCAAATAAAATACTCCTTCCGTCCCTTTAAACTTTGTCAACTTTCCTTTTTTGGATGTCCCACTAATTTTGTCACTTTCTCTTTTAAGTAAAGAATTTGTGGTTTCATTTAATTCTCTCTCATCTGCACAAACCTCAACCACACAGTTTTTACTTTATTAATCTCCGTGTCGGTCAAACTTGGCAAAATTTTAAGGGACGAAGGTAGTACATCTCTTATTGAAAACTAGTTACTCCATATGTGCGTTGCACGGGAGTGAGACACCCACATAATAATTTAGATATAATTATATATTTAAAAATATTTAAAAAAAAATGATTGTGTTAGAATTATTAGAAAACATTAAATGCTAAGAACTAAATGTAAAACATCACACGATGAAATGGATGTGCATTTAAGTCCACCACATTATAACGAAAATTATAAATTACTCTATAGTACATATTTCTTTGTAAACAACATTCAATGTTGATTTATTTGATTGTCCATCTTCGTCATTACAAACTTCAATCTCATGAACTTGTTACTCTCCACACCGCCACGTACAAATGTTTGTGAGTAATAATGGGGCGTCAGTAAGATGACAACCTTTTTCAATGATTGTCCGTGACTCTTATTAATGGCAATTGCAAACCTAACAATTTTAGGCGGAGAATGCTTAGGTGGAGAATTTTCTCTCTCCAGTGTAGTGCTTTTAAGTATAGGATGAAATTACATTTTAGAATTTTAGGATTATAGGATGATGAGTTTTTTTGTAGAAAGTGTAATTACATTTCAGGATTTTAGGCGGAGAATGCTTAGGCGGGAAAATTTTCTCTCTCCAGCATAGTGCTTTTATGTATAGGATGGTTTTTTTCGGAAAGTGAAATTATATTTTTGGATTTTAGGCGGATAATGCTTAGGCGGGAGAATTTTCTCTTTTCAGTGTAGTGCTTTTAGCCTTTTAGGTATAGGATGTTTTATTTTTGCGAAAAGTGAAATTACATTTTAGGATTTTACGCGGAGAATGCTTAGGCGAGATAATTTTCTATCTCCAGTGTAGTGCTTTTAGGTATAGGATGCTTAGGAGGGAGATTTTTTTCTCTCCAGTGTAGTGCTTTTAGGTATAGGATAGGATGATGATTTTTTTGTGGAAAGTGTAATTACATTTTAGGATTTTAAGCGGAGAATGCTTAGGCGGGAGAATTATCTCTCTCCGGTGTAGTGCGTTTAGGTATAGGATGATGATTTTTTTACGGAAAGTGAAATTACATTTTAGGATTTTGGACGGAAAATGCTTAGTCGGCAGAATTTTCTCTCTCCGGTGTAGTGATTTAGGTACAGGATATGATAGACGGAGAATGCTTAGGCGGGAGAATTATCTCTCTCCAGTGTAGTGCTTTTAGGTATAATAATGATTTTTTTTTGTGGAAAGTGAAATTACATTTTAGGATTTTATACAGAAAATGCTTAGGCACGAGAGAATTTTCTCTCTCCAGTATAGTGCTTTTAGGTATAGGATAGGAGGACGATGATTTTTTTTGCGGAAAGTGAAATCACATTTTAGATTTTAGGCGGAGAATGCTTATACGGGAAAATATTCTCTCTCCAGTTTAGTGCTTTTAGGTATAGGAGGATAAGATTTTTTTTGTTGAAAGTGAAATTACATTTTAGATCTTAGGCGGAGAATGCTTAATCGGGTTTCTCTCTCCAGTGTAGTACTTTTAGGTGTGTGTGTATATATATATAGGAGGAGGTTTTTTTGCGAAAAGTGAAATTACATTTTAGATTTTGAGCGGAGAATGCCTAGGCAGGACAATTTTCTTTCTCTAGTATAGTGTGATGGATAGTGTACCCGGGGGGTAGCTTATCCGTGGGATTATTACGGGGAATAACTAGAGAGAAGTCAGAGCGAGTAAGTAAGAGAGAGAGTGTATATCAGATATGTATTCAGCGTATTTTGCTTCTTTTTTACAAATGGGAAAATGGGGTGCTATTTATAGTAGTAATAAATGCCAGATAGGGACACGTGTCAAGCATCCATTGGTCGAGGGGTCACCTCAACCGGTTGGCGCTGCAATCGCATGTGGCCGCATTTAATGCGGCTGTTGGATGTGACGTCGTACATGGTGCGGTGATTTCGGCGCATGTGGAGTGGATATTATGTCGAGAAAGGTGCCCTCGGCTGCAGTTGATTAGCCGAGGGCTCTGAGTACCGGGGACCCCCTTAGTGCCGAGGGCTCTAGGTGCCGAAGGCTACTGAATTTCGTCTTTTTCTCCCAGTTACTTTGTGTGCTTGAGCTGGCCGTCCTGTGAGAATTTGGAGCCTTCGGCCAGGGGGCGAAGGCACTCCCCAGTGTGCTGTGTGGGTTGCTCAGTACTTGGGGCGCCGTGTTTTAGGCCTATTGGGCCTTTATCAGAATAGTAGGAGTCTATGGGCTGGGGGGTCCTGGGCCATATACTCCATCAGGAGTCCCTCACTCCTTTTGCCGAAAGGCACTTTAGGGAAAAGGAGTAATCTGTGCTTGTCCTTTTGATGTTGTTCCGTTGTAGTTTGTGGAGTTTGTGAGTAGTTTGTTGTGTGCATGTTTCAGCCGGGGCAGTCCCTCAGTTACCCACATTCCGGGACTTGAGGGATCATGCTCGTTGTTGTGGGAGTTTTGTGACATTTTTTGTATTTTGAGATTTTCCCCGAAGGGGTCCTCCAGTTTCCCACTCCTTGAGGCACTTGCAAAGTGGTGAAAAGGAGTAGAGTAGTGCCTGCCTGCAATATGAAGCCGAGGGGTGACGCTTTTCATTTCATTTTGGGGGATGCCTCGTTAAAAACCTCATTGGAAAAAACCCTGTGGGAAAAAATTCCAATGAGGGAAAAAGAGTGCACCGAATTCCCCCAATGATGAGTCGAAAAGGTGAAATCCTGGCTTGAAATGAGTGCAATATTTTTTGCCGAAGGCTATCTCTGCCTGAAGGCGTGTATGTTGATTTCCCGGAGGGTCCCTGTTGTTATCCTGAGAGATGTCGAAGGGGGAGCCCCCAAATTATGAGGATGAGGGCGTGATGAATGTGGGTGATGTTTCCGGTGTTGCCGATTTCCGTGCGGATGACGAGGGCATCCCTGTGTGGGGAGGACACTGGGGGGAGATCAGCGTTAGTGAAGGTAATGGGTTCCTCCCTCAGCCGCTTTACTAGGGGCATATGAGTGACTTCCCCCACGTAAAGTGATTGAGCCCACTTCTTTCGTTTACTTGTAGAATCACCCCCGGTATTGTCCCCCGTGATCATGAGGATGTGGTGCTTCTTTTCTTGGTACCGGGGGTACTCCTCCTCCTCTTCTTCCAGGTTCCCAATCTCCCTCTTCTTGTCGAGGGGGATGGTGTTGGGTTTTACCCATGCGTTTGTTCTCGCAGGGTGCCCTCGAGGTGGCCCTTGGTGAGGGGGGCCCTGTTGCTGAGGGGCCTGGATAAACGGGGACAAATGGCCTGCTTGTATTAACCGTTCGATGGCCGTCTTCAGCTGATGACAGTCACGTTTTGTGCCCCTGATGCCGGTGGAAGCGACAGTAGGGGTAGTTTGGATTGATGGCATATACCTCCGGGGGTGCGCGTGAATCTCGCTCTACCAGGCCCT